ATATGAAATGTCTTTTGTATATTTTAAATGTCTCTCTTTCAATCTACATATATATATATATATATATATATAAATGACTAACGGATATTAGAGACTTAAGATCATGAAAGTATAATAGATTGTATCCAGGCAGAAGTGTATAGAAATTTGTGCAAGTTGCATCGCAGTTACCCATTTATATTTCAAAAGGTAAGTTTTGATTCTCATGTGCACAGAACAAAAATTAAGTATATCTAACACCTTATGAAGTCAAGTTAGATTTGTATCGTATGGTTTCCAATCTAACAATTGGTATTGGACTGCACATGATGAGCATAAATCAAATGTTCAATATGATCATGTTAGTGTATCATTAAGTTCTATCCCTCCAACGGAAAACAATCTTAACATATATGAGTTTTGATGCAAGCAAAGCCCACTTTGTTGAGAGAGTTCATGAAGATGATCAAATATTGAATAACGAAGCGTAAAAATTCTATGATTTATTGAATGTCACATAACAGCTTTTACAGAAAAGTTGTACACGCATTCAGAGTTCTCAACAACACGGAGAATGTTGAGCATTACAAATTTATAATATACCCAGATAATGTTTTAATCAAAATATAGTGTTACTAATAAATACACTATAAAGTAAATTTAGTTTCAGAAGACCTCTATAGAACAACTAAATTGGTTTCGAAGTTAATATTACTATCACATGAGATTAACTATTGTGTTAATGATTACATATTATATTATAAAACAAATAAAATGAAAACTAAATGCAGATTTTATGGTGTTAAAGGATTCAAACCAAGAGGTTGAAAAAGAAGAAATAAGAAAAAATATTTCATACAAGTATCACTTATACGTTCTCCTCATCCCCCGGCTTCAGAATATATTGGCTTCTATGCATACAACTACTCACATGGCATGACACGAGAACAAATTTCTTGATATCAACTCTTCGAGTCATCCATCAGATAAGAAAGCTTGAAAACATTTCGATCTTACTTATCCTGATTTTGTTGTTAAACTCACGCAATATTAGACATGACTTAAATGCACATAAGTTCACGCCATAAATTCAGAGTGCAAATTCTTACTCGTTTTGGTCAGTAATTATTACAACATATCTTGCCTACTAATATGTGCATGATCACGTCTTTTTTATTTCTGACATGGATCATACCAGGTCCACATAGCCCCAAGAAAAAAATTGATGTCTACTCATAACCTCTAATAGATAAGCTTCAAGCATTATTGGAAACATGTGTGTTTATTATGATATTGTTAGAAAATAGAATTTTTAGCTTAAAGCTTCCTTGATGTTGACAATTAGTGATTTTCGGTTTATGGGATGTCATCTGGTTAAAGCACTGCGGTAAAATTAGTTTGGTCTTACTGTATGGATTTATCCAAGGTATTCACTTTAAAATATGAAAAAAAAAAATTTTGGTTTGACAGTCATCGCAGGTTTCTAGCCCACAATCACTCATTCAAAATGAATAGAGATGTTTTCTTAAAAAATATGGTTGAAAAATCAAGTCTTGCCCATGGACAATCGGGAACAAATTATAGCAGATGATTAATAAAATGTCGAAGATCAATGATAGCCCGGAAATAACTTTAATCTTTTTCCTAATTTTGGTGTTACACTTAATTAGCAAAGAGGAGCACATTTTAGGATCTTCATATTGAAAAACTAATTTGATTAAACATAATCTCGATGTTATGCACATTGAAAAAAAAAATTTGATAGTATATTTAATACTATGACAAATATTAAGAGCAAAACTACAAGAATATCAAAACGAGATTTGAATTGAATGGGTATTATAAGAGGGGGATTTAAGACTTCAACAGATAAATACAAGTAAACCAATAAAACTTAAAAGCTAAGTATTTTCTAACATTGGATCAATGAAGAGAATTATGTGAATGGATGCATTCTTTGAAGTTTTCTTGTGGATGTATCCAACTTGAGCCACTATGTTGACGTGAGAGCAATAAAAATGTTTGGCATGAAAAGTCATGACTACCACAACTTTTTTCAGTGCTTACCCTCAATTTCATTTAGTGCTCTGTCAAATCTGATACTTGGTCATGTAATTAAAATCAGTATATTTTTCAAGGATCTATGTGCAGGGAATTTGGATGTTAATATATTGAGAAATTATAAAGTGAGCATTTCATTAATATCATGCAAACTCGAACAGATATTTCCTCATGATTTTTTTGAATTTATGGAGCACCTGCATGTACATCTATGCTATGAGACTAAGAATATAGTACAGTATTGGTGAATGTATCACTTCAAAAAATATGTCATCTCGATGCCTAATTTTTAAACTGCAATGACTTATTAACATAATTAATTAAAAAATATCTATTTTGCAGATTTTTATATACAATCAAGATGACTATAAAAAATAAAGCATGTCCAAATGGCTAGATATGTGAAGCATACTTCTTGCAGAAGACAATTATATTTTATTCTTAGTATGGTGAGCAACATCAAAAAATATATCAAACTATTGGTGAGATGTCTTCGCAATTTGAATTATATGTATTTCAGATATCGGGAGAAATATCTAAGAGACATGTTACACGCTAAATCAACAATCATGCATTTCTCTACTAAGCTTCTTTATAATTTTCATTTTTAGAATGCATGACTTGATTGAAGTTTCTAGATCTTATTTCTCCAAGCTTAACCATTTTATATATTACCTTTCTTCTTTATTAACAACAACCATACGACACGCATCAATCATCATTACAAGTAATAGATATTGTTTTGTTTAATACTCTTTGTAAACCATTAGCTTTTGTATAATTACTGCAAAAAGATACTTGTTCTTTCGAAAGCACGTTTTTTTAATATATTGTTGCACTTCGTCACTCCGCTATCTTCTCATGCACAATATATTTTATGCTTCTATGCTGCTTGTTCAATTTCATATCAAGGTTTGCTCGTATTTTAACAATTTCTCATTGAATAATTAACAATTTCTCACATTTTTTAATTTCATCAAATTACTCTAGGGCATAACCTGATAATTATCTTCTTTAAACACTAGAACAGATCATTATATATGTTTAAAATGTTTCAATATTTATTCATCACTCAAAATTTCATTAGTAGTTTTATTATTACCTAACAAGAAGCACCGCCCTGACAAACTATATGAACAACAAAGATAAGAACCTTGGTACCAATACTATCATTAGTGGCAACAAAATCCTGATAAAATTCAATGCTCCGCAAGTGTCGGATCTAGGACGGTGCTGGTGCACACAATTTTATTGAAAGCAATAATATCATCATGATCAAAACCAGTGACCGTCAAGTCAAAGAAAGGCAAAGTGATCACTACTCCTATGACCATACTCTCCCGTTTCAAAAAATTTTTATCAAGCATTGGATCTCATTTCTTTTTAAGTCAAACTATGAACAAACTCAAGTCAAGATTATTCGTTGTCCTATTTCGAGCCATTCATCTTGATGTAATTCAATTTTCCTTCACATTATCCTTACCTTGTAATTTCCCCATGCATATTGATGCAATCTCAACTTATTTCATAACACTTCTTCCTCAAGAAACGCCTCATATCTAATCTCATCCTTCTTAAAAACCATCTTGATAAACTTACTAATGCACTTTCCTAAGTCATCTCATTCAGAAAATATTGCAACGCTCTAATTTCAGAGCTTGCCTGAAGTAGTTCGTAAGCTCAATCAACTCTAGCAAGATTGCGGATTTGCAGGAAAATAGAACAGCAACATCAATATATCTCTTGCTACTCGAGAAATGAACAACAATTCGATACCAATTACCTCTTTTACATCAGGAAGTGCAATTTTTTCTACACTTTGCTGCAACTCCAGACGATATTGTGCATTCCTGAACATATAACCAGTCATCATCACACTATACATGAGCTGCGCCAAGTTTTCTGCAACCTAATCCAGCAAGTAAATCAGTGTCCTATATTACCAGTGTAAATGGAACTGAACATCATGCCTCAAAAAGTACATGACTCTAAAATTAAGGCGCATTTAGATACATACCAACCAATTCTTATATATTTACATATCTAACACTAAATCTTTGATTTTTTTACATTTATACCCCCCCAAACATATCGTATAACATAAAAAATACCACTATTTTAACTTAAAACAAAGTGAAAGACGCCTTTTCGTGCATTGGTAACATGGCATTTACGTAAAAATTTAGGTTTAGGTGTAAGGTATGTAAATACATAAGAATTGAGTGGTATACATGTAAATCATCGTGAAATTAAATGTCACTGATTGCTTACTGTGGTGACGGTCACTGCAAAAAATTGAGGGGGGAGTGTTCCAATCATATTGGTCACGGTCTGGCGCATTGCTTCGACAATCTTCAAGAGGGGAAAAAAATATTGTGAAAACCTGCTATTATGCATCTAAAAAAAAAA